GAGGCTAAACTCAACATGCCAATACAATTAAAAGTATTCTATTTAGCTTTGTATACACGTACCACTGGACCGATGGGGACACCATTGCGGTTGTCTGCCAGAATAATATGCATGTTTGAAGTCTTGTTAGTGCACGTATAGATACATATATACATACAAAGTAATTTAAAAAAGAAAATCATAGCCATATTGGCAGCTTAAGTTTTTAGATTTTTTACTCACTTAATGAATCAGCCTGAGAGTCCGTCGCGTAACTTGGTGTTCCGGCCTTATTGAGAGGAACAGCTTTTGCATACGATGAGGAGTAGTAGTTTAGTCCGATGAAATCAAATGAACCCGTTAACATCTTGGATTGCTCTCTGGTGAACTTGGGCAATCGATTCCCAACAAGAGATTGCATGCTCTGCGGATATTGACCCCGTGTCAGGGGATCCAAAAACCTACAATGAAGATCGAACGTTCCTAATGTTAATTACATTTCAAAGGCTATGATATGGCCACTGGCACATTTGAAAGCAATAATTAATACTGATGTCGTGCACAGATGAATACAAACCAAACCAGATAGATAATTCTACAAGTGCATACCATCCGTAACTAAAATCCATTGCTCGTGATGCAGCATCTTTGTCGGCCTGTGAATCAGAAAATGGCACAGAAAAACCTGTGTTCAGCGCGATTCCTATCACGCCCTTCTGTGTAGCCTGCATGTGCATGGACATTCAATATTCATTAGTTTAATTGTTATATATTCAGATTTAGAGTCACATATATATATATATATATATATATATATATATATATATATATATATATATATATATATATATATATATATATATATATATATATATATATATATATATATATATATATATATATATATATATATATATATATATATATATATATATATATATATATATATATATATATATATATATATATATATATATATATATATATATATATATATATATATATATATATATATATATATATATATATATATATATATATATATATATATATATATATATATATATATATATATATATATATATATATATATATATATATATATATATATATATATATATATATATATATATATATATATATATATATATATATATATATATATATATATATATATATATATATATATATATATATATATATATATATATATATATATATATATATATATATATATATATATATATATATATATTGATAACTTAAGGAACATGGACTAGAGAGTTGACCAGAAATTTCTCTCTGTACACTTTCACAGCGGCTGCATGAGCAAGAAGTTGATGATGTGACGCCAAATATGGCTCAGTTCCTGAATTCCCGCCGTTACATTGTGTATGGTTAGAACATCGGCCTGGTGCAAACACTCCGGATGTATAACCAGCGTTGCTAAAGGTATGGGGCTCATTTAAGGTGATCCAATGCTTAACTCTGTCACCAAATTCTCTGAAGCAGATCTCTGCGTAGTTCCGAAAATCATCCCTATATATAAAATAAAGTGTATGAATATTTCAAGCGTTACGGACATTTAATCCAAGATGATAAGAAGAAGCTGAAGCAATCTCTTATTTTCCAAATCCTATATATGGAAACTAGTACCCCTTTTTTTTCAAGTACATGGTCTCAACTACAGAAGAATGGGCATTTCTCACGCACACTATCATGGTGTTGTGGGAGTTTGAATATGAGACCACTCTAATTTGCAAGTTAAGATTATTTTTCACTGGACTAGACCCCTTTGACGAAAACTAGTACTATTTAAGGCTATGATTACAGGATTATTTCATTTGCACTTACACACTTTTAGGGCTTAAAAAACCACCGTATGCATCTTCAATGCCTTGTGGAAGATCCCAATGGAAGATTGTGACAAAGGGCTTTATGCCTGCAATATTTAAAAGCACAAAATGAAAATGAACAATTATGAATGATTTTTTGGTTGAATATTCCTGGTAATGAACAGTGAGAAGAGCGACGCAAATAACCATTGGCTACAAGCTCATTGATGAGGTTGTTGTAATATTTGATTCCTTCTTGATTCACGCCCCCACTTAGCATTCCAGCTGATCAATAAGTCCCAAAAGAGAATTCATGTAAATAATGAAGAGGATAACAATATTAATATTAATGTTATTATCTATTTCATTGTGTCTTACTGGGTAAGATTCGAGACCATGAGATTGAGAATCTGTAAGCATCCCAGCCCATATCCTTCACAATCGAAACATCTTCCTACAACAAAATATAAATTAGAAAGCATGTGAGAAAAACCTTTGCGTTCTTTAATTCTTATAATATAATCTTCATTTTCTACTTTTTTTTTTCAAAGAAAAAAGTGCGAGTTCTACGTACCTTATAGCGATGATATGAATCAATAGCCACATCTCCATTGCTGCGGTCCGTTATCTTGTCTATTTGTTTCCAATAGAAACACGTAAGTATAAACTAATTAGTGGTCATAAATAAATTTCATAATCAAAGTTTTTTGTATACATTTCTCATTTTCTTTATGCAAATTAAACCCACTTATATAAGAAAGAGGACATGAAAAAAAGAAAGAAAGAAAAAAGATACCTGGATATTTGTGAGTGAATGTATCCCAGATACTTGGCCCTCTTCCACCTTCTTTTGCTCCTCCTTCAAACTAAATTATTCCCACACACAAATAAACAGACATAATAAATCAAACTAATCATTCTATTAAGAAACCTTCAAAGAAAATCTATAGATGAGGTACCTGGTAAGCTGCTCCAGCTGACCCGAATATGAAACCGGGCGGAAAACTGCTCCGGTTGAGGGCTTTAGCAGTTAATGTAGGATCTTTATGCTTTGACAAGGCAGCTTCACAACTTATGACTGCATAGCCAAGAACAAGTAGGAGAAGGCTGAAACGGAGATTGCCTAATTTAAGTACCATAATTGATTATTTTAATTTGTTTAGTTTCTAGCTTCTAGCTACTTGGCCTTTATATACATAGTGGAAGAAAAAAAACATGTGGTAAGATAAAAACACTAAATTTGAAAGCTGTCTAAATATGGCATGCATGCATGCACTTTTAGGAAACCCTTAATCCCGATAACTTCAGAAGTTGTCCGTACCCTTGATTTCTATCAGAAGCGGTCAACGTACGCAAAAGTTGTTTAACACTTGTGATGATGCTGAGTCGTTCAGAGAAACCACATAAAAGTTAAAATTAATAAATAAAAAAAGATTAGAAACATCGAATTAGTTTACTATAGCAAAATATATTTCGGTTTTTATCATAAATGTAGGACCCGTTTGATAACTAAATTTTAGTTTTTAGTACAGAGAAAAATGAGAGTGAGTATGAGATTGAGAGAGAGGATGGGAGCATAGACGGACCCAGAATTTTAAAATAAAATGGGCTAGATTTACCTTAAGGGTGGGTTACTAATTTTGAAATGGATTAAACTTTAAACCCATGGGCGGAACCATAGCCAAGGCTGTGGTGGGCTATAACCTAGGTAAGTTTAGAAGAAAAAACAATAATAAACATATATCTATATGGCCATTATTTTTTGGGGAAATTATCTCCTGCCTCTTTTTGGGTGAAATTATATGTTGTCTTTGGTAAAAGGTTTTTGAAGAGAAAAAAAAACCTATATGGCTCACCATCAACTACAACACATTAGGAAAATATTATTTTCAATGGAAAAGTGGGCCAAACTCTCCCCCTCCCCCCCAAGTGCACTCGAGTTCAATTCGCTAGTTCATAGCTTCAATCAACCATCAAATCCAATTTTTATACATATTATTTGACATTTCCACTGGAGGTGCTCTTAACTGAGCAAACAAATTAAACATAAGATGATTATAGGCCTATAAGTTGGGTGGACAATGGGTTACTAGGCTACATTTGAGTGGACTACTAATCTTTTATAGAGCGAAACCACATAAAAATACATATAATATTTTTTAAAGGCTACTTGGGCTAGAGCCCATAGTAGTCTTGTTGCTAGTTTGGCCCATGCGTCCATGGATGGGAGGGAAGAGTAACAAAAGGGAAAACAAAAACTTGAAAGTGAAAATAATTTCAAATATATTTCAATTTTTAGTTTTCGTTTTCACTTTTGTTACTCCTTCCTCCCCCCTCCTCGTCAATCTCATTTTCACTCTCATTCTCACTTCCATTCTCCCTCTTTTTCCTCTATACTCTTAACGCAAAAAATTAAAAATTAAAAATTAAAAATAAAATGGTTATCAAACCGGGCTGTAAGTTTTTATAAAAACTTTCAAATCTAGCAAAAAAACCCACTTGAATACACCCAAATGGCCTCAAATCTGGAGACTCTATATTCCACTACAAAGTCATTGTCTTCAATTGTCTCTTAGCCTCATCATATAATATATGCTTGTTTTAAGTCCTAGAGGGATTTCTAGTACTAGAATCTAAGTTGGAAATTTTCTTAGGAACCAAACAACATAAGGAAAAAAAATTAACGAACAGTGTAAGAAATTATATTAGAAAGAATACCTGAACGAATTTTCTAGTGGATAATTTGGAATTTTCCAGCAATATTGACAAATTTTCAACAAACTGAAAAAAGAAAAAGAAAATAATTTGACACGGGTTAAAACTTAAAACCACATTAATTTTAAGTTTTTGTGTTACTTTACACAAAAATGTTCATCTCTCCAGAAGCACTACAATTTACATTCTTCTCTCCCTAAAGATTGATTATACTTAACAAATTCTAGACCACAGTTGAAACAAACATGTACTTTAACGTCCGAAAAATATAGCAAATCAAGAAATCAATATTTCTACATTTATCCGCATTTCGCTACATATGGACTATTCTAATAATATGAGTTATGACATAACACATAAATTAGCAGAGTTTGTAATAGGTGGCAAATTCTAATCGTTATGGGCCTATTTGGTGGGCTTGAATTGGATCTACAATCCACAATCCTGTCACGTTTGAGCCCAACCCAACCCCGTATAATTCTCCATCTCTATAGGTCGCAGCCGGCGAACTTGAGCTGTTTCCAGCGAACCCCACCCATCTCTGGCTGTGGCTCCGGCTCAAACCATGTCATCTCCGATCTCTTGTTTCTTTTCTGGGACTTGTTCGTCATAAGTGATTCTTCTGTGGTCGGTGTCTCCTTCGTCCCCAGTGCTTCTCTTTCATCGTCAAGATCTTGCGTTTTGTTTTGATTAACATGTGAGTTTTAATGCTTGAATTTTGCTGGAATTTTCATTTTCTCCAAAACGTATTTGATCATGCACTATTGAATTTATTGTGGGTTTCTCTTTTACATTTCATGGGTCTTTCTTTGCAGTGTTTCAATGTCTGTACGTGTGTGTCTGTCTGTGACTGCAATTGGGTATATCGTTTGAAGTCCTAGTTTTGTCTTTTAACTGATTCAATGATTCCTGATGTTCATTTAAGCAATTAAACAGTAATTTGACGCGAAATCATTATCTTAATCATGCATTTGATGCTTCGTTGTTTAGATACATGAAAGTTGAATTCTTGTTGTGCAAATGAAAATTTTCATGTGGTTGTTCTGTTCTTCTCAGAGTAAAACGGCATTAACCCAATTGCTGGGAGAAAAATACAAAATAAAAAGAGCTTTTGAAATAGGAAAACTCCTTCTCACAGTGAGTTTCATTAAGTCATATGTTTTCGCATACTTGGGTTGGGATCATCTCTGGGAGTGAAGAATTTCTGGCATAGCTAGTATGGCCAACTGGTTTCTAGTTAAAACACCCTGAGATTAGCTAGCTCCTCAATTGAAAATTTTGTTTGTTAGCCGATTGGTGTCTGAAGTAGCATGTTTTTAACATTATCCAGCGTCTTTGTCCCATGTAAGTTGTAACACCCATCATAGGATAGGATTAAAGATATTATATATGATCCAGTATAATCCAACACTAGGTAATAATCCTATGATATCCAATCCTGCATGGCAAACGAGGCCAATGTTCAGATTTTACCCATAGGTGCCCCCTGGCAATTTATCTTGTCATTGTTGAATGGTCTTTTTCTTCTTCTGACTTTACAGAGTTTCTAAGTGGCTGTGATATGGCATCATTCCGAGCATTCTTGAACAGTCCAGTTGGTCCAAAAACAACTCACTTCTGGGGACCTATTGCAAACTGGGGATTCGTTGCCGCGGTATGCTTCACTTCCATGATATCTAGAATGTATTTGATTTCAAATGAGGTTTCTTGCTTTTTGACTAATTCTGATCATAATGGGCTGATTTAACAGGGATTGGCGGATATGAACAAACCTCCAGAAATGATTTCTGGCAACATGACAGCAGGTCCAAGATAACTGGTTTTCAAGGATGTCAGTTATTTTCAGTATATATTATGTTACAGGATTGTAATTTACTTTGGATTTGGTTCTGCAGCAATGTGCGTTTACTCTGCATTGTTTATGAGATTTGCATGGATGGTACAGCCTCGCAATTATCTACTGTTGGCATGCCATGTCTCAAATGAGACTGTCCAACTCTATCAACTCTCTCGCTGGGCAAGGGGTCAGGGGTAAGTGACTAGCTGATTTTATCATCAATTTTAGAAAAGTAGAAATAAATTTATAATAAAAATGGCAAAATGCTTTAGTTGAGTTGTCAACTGTCATAACTTCCTTTAAATGGGGTTTTCTTTACTCCGACCTTTTGTATCAAAAATGGTTGAGCCTAAACATAAATTGCCCCTTAATAAGAAGGCACTGCATGCATTGCCTCAAACACAATATCTTGAGATTTACTGTCATTTTCTTGCTTTATGATAGGTACTTTCCCCAGAAGAAGGATGAACCTGCATCCGAGTAGCGTGCTGCTTCTTTCATTCATTTTCTGGTCCATTGTGTTGTTTGTTGTGATTTTTACCCAAAACAGTGTCGATCTGCTGCTTAATTCATTCCCTTGCTGGTTCATTACCTAAAACAGTGTTGATCTCGTGTATGGCTCATTTAATACAGTTCTATTTTGATATTAAAACCTCTTCTTCTATCGTCTAATTTGTATTTAATGTCATGCACTGGTTTTTTTTATATTTATTTTGTTTTTATAAATTAAATATTTGTTTTTAAAACGTTGCATAGAGAAGACGCAAAATCTGTTACGGTGCGAGGACGTTGAAGAGCAATAAGGAATTTTAAAACGTTGCATAGAGAGGTTGCTGAAAAACTTGCACTTTCATTCAAAAAGATTATCAGTTGGATCACCCTTACCCCCGAATAATATGTGAACCACAATAATCAACTATTTCACCGATTTCCTTGCTCCACAGGGCCAAGAGAAACCAATTGACAATATTGCTAATGTTTTTTTTTTCTTTTATAAAAAATTTGTTGGGCAGCAATTGCCTTTCACCCTTGGCATGTTTGGCACCACCCCCTCCCCTGTTACACGAGCATATAAATACTCCGTACTTTGCCGCCATCAGGATCATGATGTATCGCTGAGATCTTCACATTTTTAATCTTTTGCTACTGTTCTTGGATTTCACCTTCTTGCCTCCATATTCTTCAGAAGATTCCTTGTTTCCACTTTTTGCTTCAGCATCCTTCTTGATTCCTTTCTTTTCCTTCGATTTCTTCCTTTTCACAGGAGGTGTTTCGCCCTCACCTCTCTCATCTTCATGCAGCGGCCAATCTGCTGCAGAATGGGCAACTTCTGCTTCTACAGAATAAAAAGGAAAACTTGCAGCCAAAGTTTTGGGGAACAATTACATGATAGCGCAACTCTCTGATCAGAGCTAGGAAATAGGAAAACTAACCTTCATCAGCAAAATTGGAATCAAAAAGAACGTTTGTCAGATGCTGCTTCAGGTGAACCTGCACAATTAATCTAAAAGAATGACAAAGCTGCAGCATAAATGATTGTTACTCTTCTAACCACATTTAAAAATCAGTTGCCACGAGCTTTAATATATAAATATTGCCCATTACTTGAGTATGCATGAAACCATGATACTTAGAAAAACAATACAGGGCGATAACATACAGCAGAAAGTAGTTGCCGCGTCTTCACATTCCAAAGCCGTAGGTAGCTATCCAATCCTAGGATAGGAGGAAAGGAGAACTTAACATCAGTACGAAGATAATTTTGGTTTCCAAAGAGAACTCATAAACTTCACCGATAAAGTTTAAAAACTACAAACAAATGTTCAAGATCCTGAGAATGACTTCAAAAATGTAATAATAAGCATGCCCGATATTCAAAACTGCAACCATGCACTCACCACATGACGCTATCACTGGAAACTCAGGGTGCCTTGCTATGGATCTTATACTACCTGAACACTTTCCCAAAAAGCAACCTAACAATTTACCTGTAAAAAACAGAGAATTAAAATAAATAAAGCAACTTAAATATAGTCCAAATGAGAGATTACAGGATAACAGAAACAACATCAAGGCATCTTCTATAATATCATTTTCTGTTGGGACAACACACCACCACTTTATTCCTATCAAAGCAAATAAGTAAGACATGTTATAATTCACAAATCAAGTATGATACCAACTAGCTATTAGTCTGGCAGTACTCCTCTTTCCAAAGTTGGAAGAGGTCCCAAGCTCAAATCCCCTCTCCCCAATTGGTCAAAATTTATTAAAAACTGAATTATGAATAATGCTCTCAAATATGAATAGGACTTGAAAAGGGACCGCCATAGTGTACATTCCTAACCCCCAGCAGTTAATATACACCAATCATACAAGAATGAAGCTCAACGTATGGCTTTTTCTTCTATAAGTAAGCTTCACAAATAGCTTGAGTTACGTTTAAATTTCTGATTGTGTCCAAATCCATAACCCCAACTAACTGTTTACCAACTGTATTCAGACTATTCTTAATTTTGATGTAAGTACAAAATTCCTACAATTTATACTCATGATCATGATGGAAGTTAACATACAAATTTGCCAAGAGTTGATATACAAGTATAATTGAGCCTCATGTCAGTAGAACTCGGACAGAACCAAGGGGCAGCCTATGGATAGTAAACTCAACTTCAAGCAATAATGTGAAAGCCCTAAGCTCAGTCCATATGTACTAAAAAACATTTGAGCAAAACACGAATTGAAAACAAAAACATCCTTATGTGCCCACTAAAAATCAATGCACCTGTGCGTATGTCAAAAGAAGCGAGGTCACCAGATCCATTCCCTACGTAGATGGTATAGCCATCTAGATCTTCAGCAACAGATTTAATAGCAGTCTCCCGAAAATCAAATGATATGACAGGTCTTCGCTGAGCAGAAATGTCATAAAGACGAACCTATTGAATAAAACAAGTCATAAGGTGTCAATAAAATCATTTTTGGGTAAGCTACTAGGAGTAGACATTCAAAAAACTGAACTTCTAAAAGAAGAATAAACATGACAGGACTCCAAGTACACATAGTCATCCAGTTTTTAATAAAACCTATACTATATTCCAAATTTGCACAGGGGTTTATAATTTCATATGGCAAATATTATGTTATATTATAGCCACTAAAATGCAGAATAACTGCCTACTGTTGGAAACAGGAAGCATTCGTCCAAAGTACATAAAGAAAGGAAGTACTTTCCACAAGTCGTTTATTCCCAACTGAAAATAATAAGAAAAAAGCATCCTACTGTAAGCAATTGTTACCTCATGGCTGTTGGTGCCAGCAACAAATTTACGATGATCATCTTTACTCAAAAATGTGGCAGATGTGAACCAAGTTGGGGTAAAGATACCAAGGCTGTTTTTAGGAGGCTGCTCAGGGTCAAAAAGGTCAGAATAAATGTAGGTCATACATTTGCAAACGAAAAATTTATGTGCCAGTTTGTTCAAGATGTAATGGGGGAAGATAGAAATGCTCACAGGTTTTGATGTCCAAATCTTGGCACAGCTGTCAAGATCCCAGACATTCATCTCAACACGCTTCCTGAATTTGAAAATAATAAGGTCATCACATATCATACCAATATGCTACTGATGATACTCTTTGTTTAATTAAAATTACATAGATCTTGAACCTCCTATAGTAAGTTACTCAAAATGAGAACTTACCCTCCCAATAAAAAATAGTTTTCACTTCCATCCACTTTAGAACATAAGATACAGCCGCCATCACCTATACTCCATGTTCTAGAAGACCCAGTAGAAGAAACATCTGCGGATGGTTTATTCACTTCAAAGGATCTTATGCTTGCATTTCCTTTTGTTGTACACGTGAGCAAAGTGCAAGACCTAACAGTAGACAATAATTGAAAAAAGATCCATAACTGTATGCACTGAGTGAACAATAGCACTGATTTTAAATATATAAAAACTTCTGGAAGAGATCAATGACTGACATAAGAATATAGCAAAATTGGAGACATCTCTCACAGGTTTAAGTGCAAGACAACTTGGCTTACAGGGGACACTTGTTTAGGTTCATAACCTCACATACATGCAAGCAGTTGAAACAGAAAGTAAACAAATGAAATACACAAGTATCAATACATTGTGCATGTAAGAGATGCATTCCACAAACCACTGCACCAGACAATGCATCCTATACAATATGAGTAAGGGTACTGCAATTACTCAAACTTGGTGAAAAAAATATTAAAAACGAGTGAATCTAAAATATGAACACCCAACCATACCCAAGCCCATGTCTCATAGGATGATTCAGTAGTCTAATTTTACTAGAAATTGCGTAGCCAATAAGAAAATGGGGGTTCGTGGTTGCTCATTGATATCGGTAGAAAAACCATGTAAGCACATAAGGCATGTTACCTAGAAGCCAATTCCAACTTCTTTTTGGCAAATAAATGCAATCCAGCAACGGGGTCATCTTCAGGCTGAACGCCATTATTACTGGCATTGGAGACTGCGAAACGGAGATCCCCATTAAGAGGATTAAGAACTTCAACCTGCAATGCATATAAGCACCTAACATTTATCACCCCCTCTACTGAACCAGAAACCACAAATTGCTCCCACATATTCATAGTCCAAATATGCACTCACCGTGCCATTTCTTCTTGCAACAGCTAGTAACTGCAACATAGCAAAAAGGAAAAAGTTAAATAAATAAGGAAAGGAACCATTCATAAAAATACATTTTTACATATCAAGTATTAAGAAACAGAGCAACACATGCCCAATTGAAACTAAAGCACATACCCAAGACACACCTGAATAAAATGCAGAAACTCAACAGACCGAAACACATTGTATTAATTCTAACACAAACAAACAAACAAACAAACAAACAACAAACACAAAGCAACACATACTGGGTCAGATTTTCGGTCATGGATAGAGGCGGCGAGCACACATTTAGAGGAATCTGGGTCGCCCCACCTCTCAACCACCTTAGGTTTTGCTCTTCCTTGCTTATCTCGAGCTTCAATAACTATTAATGACAAAGAGAAATTTGTTGTTTAGACTATTAGCAAAAGAATTAGCAGTTGATTTTGATTGAATAAGAAATGGGCAGCTTAGGATACAGTTACCTTTTATGAGACCAAGCTCGTCGAAGGTTAGAGCTCGAAGTGGAGGGCAACCGGGACAATCGAGTGTGGTCGTACGAGGCATGTTTTACTCTCTGCTTCAACCCAGTCACAGAATTTGCGAAAGAGAGAAACCCTTAAACCCTAACCCTCAGCCTTTTTTTGTGTGTTTTTCCTCTTTCTTTTATTTGGGTCTGAAATTGGGCTGGAAGCATAAACGAACTTTTGCTAATTTTAGGTTTGGGCATACCATCAAGTTTTGGCCCAATATTTTTTTTATATATTCAACTATAAAAAAGCCTACCATCCAAATTCTTTGTAGTCCAAACCCATCACCATTAAAACCCTTAACTCACGGTGCGTTTGAAGGAAATAAACTTAAGATTTTGACAAAAGTTAGAATTTCTAAATTCACATAAATTAATTCATGAGTTTTTTTTAATAAAAAAAACTTTACAAATAAACCCCGTATCCGATACCGCTATTAAAATAACATATATTTAAAATGATATATATTCAAAATAGTCATTTTCCAAATTAGCATAATTGCTACTAGAATTCCCCAAAAAACAATAGCCCAATACAAAGGTGGAGGAAAAAGACCTATGTGGAGTTGAGAGGAAGCAGCCTTGGAACTGGTACAGCCGATCGATAAGAGTGTTGGGTTTTTTATGTTTGGTTAGCCAGCCTAGTTGGGATTAGTTAATAAGATTGGCCTAGGCTAGGGTATTATTTTAGTTTAGTCTTTAAAAAAACAAGTCTCCCGGGCTATAGCCCAGGTTAGCTTTTTATAGTAGTACCGTCCCTGCTTGGGCCTTTCCATTGACTATAAATTTGTTTCGAGTTGAACACACTGACGAAACCAAGTTAAGGGCTACCATGGGCTCTAGCCCAGGTAGCCTGTTCTGAAAATTAAAATATATTGAATTTTGGGTGACATATCTGAATGCCCAGCTAATTGAGTTGCTGAATGATTGCTGCTAAAGCTCATCTTACGGATCGGCTTCCTCATTGTCGTCGAAATGGAAACCAATAGCACCTCCCATACCTACATATCAAGTTTGTCTGGCCAAACACTCATGGTGCCTAATGAGTACCTTGTTAATGCAAATAATAAGCTTATTGTCTGGAATGCGTTGTATGATAAAGCAACATGCATTTCATCTAGGAAAAAAGAACATGAAAATGCCAATGGTCGAAAAATCGCTAGGCAGTAGGCATGCAGCAAACGGGGCCTAGCGCATATAGGAGTAATCAAAGCCTAGGCGTTTCTTTTTATTATTATTATTATTTATAATTATTTTGTATTATAAATTATAAACTTATACCAAAATCATGCAAAATAAAATGATATATAAATTAGAGGCCCAAATTAGAAAGTACCATAATTGATATAAAACATGGGGGAAAAGTTAAGCATAAAGCATATAATAATACTCTATTATTCAACATATTAGTTAAAAATATTACATTGCAATTTTTGGGTATAGACCGAAAGGGTTTTGTTTGTTGGGCCCATAACTCCTACCCATAAAAACGATACGTATAGCTTAATAAGGTGGCGTTTGGCCCCGCTGAAATTTTTTAAAAAGCAGCTTTAATAAAAATTTGGCACAACCATGGTGTTTGGTAAACATCAGAAATCAGCTTTTTTTTAAAATCGCGGTCAATGACCGCTGTTTTTCCAAAGCAGGCATAACCCAGCTTTTAAAAGCTGCTTAAAAAAAAATTTAACCGGTGGTTTTAATGAATGTTTTACTTTCCCATAATGCCCTCACTTATTTTTCAAATAGACAGTCCTTGTCCCTCCAATACAATCAAGCAACGCAAACTCCTCTTCTTCCCCATTCTGCAGACTCTCATTTTCTTCTTCATTCCTTTTTGCTATTCGTCGTCTGCAACAAATCCCACCCAAGCTCCAGCCACAACCACAACCTCCCTTTTTCTATTCGTCGTCTTGAGAGAGATGGTACAGTACCACTCGTGTTCTGCATATTTTATGGTTGATTGTGCAATGCATCCCATGACATTGTTACCGAATTGAAGATACTCGTGCTATATATTACAAGTAAAATATAGGTGCTGATGTGGTTTGTGATCCGGTGGTGGGGAGACAATGCATAAACATCGCTGATATAGTTTTTGGATCCAGATCGAAATCACGTTGTGACTGATTCAAGTGTGAAGCGGATGAGTTGCTCTTGTCTCCCTAACCGTGTGATATATATTGAGCAGATGTCAAAGGGAAGGAAAGCAAGCTGAAACACCAAATTGAACATTCAACTGCAAAGTACAAGACCTTTCTCTTTTCCAAGATTTGCATGATTGTGTTGAGAAGTTTCTTCTATTGACACACTCTCAGCAAACCTTATCCCAGGGGTGTGGAGACAAATGGATCTCAATGAACTACTAGATGGATCTTTGAGGCACCTGGATGTGTGTGGCATCATTAAGGATACCCTTTTGCAAACAAAGGAGTGCACACATGGACTTCAATCCATTTTGCGCAGAAGACGAGGAGGTGACATGAGCTTCATGAGTGAGGTTAGAAAATACCTTGCCTCTAGGAAGGATGTCAAGAAGGCAATGAACAAGGCCTTCAAGGTCAAGGAAAGTGAAGGAACCAACAAAAATCATGGAACTCCAGCTGTGATCAACATGTTGAAAGAGTTAGATGCAGTAACTGTTGCTATGTTTGAATCCTTGTTGTCCTTCATAGCTGGTTCGAAATCAAAGTCAAGCAATTGGTCATTAGTTTCCAAGCTAGTGCAGCCCAAAAGAGTATCTTGTGAGGGTTAGGAAACTGCAGATACGAATGAACTTGAGAAGGTGGATGCTGCATTGAATGCCCTTATTACTCACAAGTCTAAGAAATCTGATTACGCAATGCAAGTCGAGAATGTGCAAATTTGGCTCCAGGACTTGGAGGCAAACATTCAAGATATAGAAGGACTTGAGTGCCTGTTCAGGTGCTTGATCAAAGCCAGTGTCTCTCTCAACATTTTCAACCATTAGGGATGAAAATCATCCAATTTTGTAGACATTGAACAAACATACTTGTATATGAAAGAGATGTATGTGTATTTTCTCATCAGATCCAAAACAAATATACTCCTTTGACACAAACATATCTGTTCTATGTCTTGCTTTGTCCATATTTTTTAATTGTGCAATCCTTAGAGTCACAAAACCATTCAATTACCCCAAACACACAGGCGTGAATGCATAATTTGAACAGCTTTTATGGAGAAATTGTTAGACATGAAGGCATTAATTTTCCTAAAAAAAATGGTTTTAAAATATTAAATCACGCTATACCATTTTCTTACTAGTAAAATGGTTTTAAAATTTTAGATCCAATCTTCGTATTTTGAACAATAAGATGCATTATCACATGAACAATTTCTTTGTTGCTCCTTTTACCCCATGGTGCTCAAATTTTGACTCTTAAGAATGGCAATGATGACGCATTGGCTGGTTCGAGCCCTACCCATCTATAACATCAATAGTGAGAAATAAATGGATTGATGCAATTCAAGATACGTACAGTCTCTTCTAAAAATATATGCATGCTGATACGGATGTGCAATCGAAATGATTGCTTATGTTGTTCTGGCGGGCAGGATGAAGAAACAAACCTGTGGCGTTGATGTTCCATGTTGTTTCACACTTTCCATCTATTCATTTGCACAGGTGAATCCCCACCTCCTAAAAAAATAGACTCAAAAGCATTTGTGCTTTGAATTCTTTGTTAGCTTATTTAAAGAGATTAATGTTTGTTGGGTGGTGCCAAAGGACTGTTTTTCGTTTTTCAGTGAAAAGTTCAAAATATTAGGAGGTGGCAAAAAGGCTAAATCAATCTGGGGCTCTCTGGTGTTGGCAATTGTTTGGTGGGAAAGAAATCAACGGATTTTTGAAGACACACTACACCAAATTTAAGGGCCCGTTTGGTATCCTATCCAAGTAAGGAATTCAAAAACTTTGATTATTTTAAAAAACAAAGAGTTCTCAAATCCATTTTTAAAAATTCAAAAACTTATTTGGTATGCAACTTGAAAACAGTTTTTAAATTTTTTAAATTTAAAAACTTGTTTGGTTGAATTCTTGAAAACAATTTTTTTTAGCTAAGGTATTGATAAACATTTTATTTTATTTTATACAATTGATAAACATTATTGAAATTATACTAAACATACTAATTTTAAAACCTATATTTTAATACCATACATATATGATGATCGTCAAACTCAATTAATCTTCAAGTCTTAAATAATACATATTAAATTAAATTATTTTAGACTAAATAAATTCTAAGACTAGTGATTCCGAATATAATCCATCCACATTGCTCTGGCTATCTAATCTCTAGCATCACTTCCTCATGCAAATGGGTGTGTTCCCTACTTGATTCGCTCCAGAGCTTTCTTCATCTACCACATCAAGATCATGCAAATTGTGTAAAATTCCATTAGGGCCCCAATAATGTCACTTCAGACTCCATCACATATGTATATAACCAAATTGCAAAATTGGAATGATCTTCCTTACTTCATTTTTAGTTTCCAATTTGTATTGTGTTTGTGTGTTGTGTAAAATTAGTGTTCTTTACGTACTCAAATTAGAACTTATAGGAAACCGACAAGTTCTTCGTGGGATCGACCCCGTACTTACATAATCTATACTTCATTAGATTCGTGCACTTGCGGGTATTTTTAATTGGTTGTTTGCACATTAATTTGTGTCCTTTTAGGAATGCAACAGTGACTCCATTACTCGTTTCTTCTGCTGACACGTAAGGTCCTTCGGATTTTGAAGACCTTTTACTCCAACCAAGTTGCAGTTGCAGAGACGAGGAAACTTCTTATTAGCAGCAAAGTAATTGGTACATTTTTCTTCTTCTTTTTCTTCCTCTCATTATTTTGCATGTAATTTTACACAAACCCAACCAAATGTTGGCGAGAGTAAACACAGACACACTAATTAAAAGGGAAGATTAATATCCTTATTCACAGGTCAAACTAGTTTTAAAAAGGAAGAATCTAGAGCGACTGATAGACAATAAGCCCATCTCTGATTCTGAAGTATCGTAGAGAATACAAGGCAGACACCAAGTCATGGCCGAGTCTCCCGCTGTCTTCATTTGGAAAAAAAAAGG